AACATATATTTTAATTATCAATATAAATATCTAAGTGTTTGCTTTTAGACAAAATCAGCAGAAAACAAAAATTATAAATATTTTTTTCCTAAAACCTGATCATGTCGTTTCTTCAGGTGACACTGGAAGAGGTGAATTCTCAGATTGCTTTGGAGTATGGCCAGGCAATGACAGTGAAGGTTGTAAAGGCAGATGGTGAAATAATGCGTAAGTCATTGCATTTTGGATTTCATAATTTTGTGTGTTCCATTTTTTTCCCCTGGTCTTTGAATTTGTGAGCTTAACACCACTCACTGTAGTCATCTATTAATTTTAGGTTCTTTTTTCACTATTTGAAAAAAAAAAAAAAGCCATAGTTGTGGTTCAGAACGCGACCGTCCTCGACCTGAAGAAGGCCATTCGCAGGTTTATGGAGCTGAAACAGCAACGAGAGGGTGGAGTAAAACATATCAGCTGGTGAGAGCATTAATGAAACAAGTAATTAAAAGGTAACATTCAAAATGTGTACATTATTACTGTTTCTCTTTTTGTTTCTCCAGGAGATATGTTTGGAGAACTTTTCATTTGATATTTCAGGGCGAGAAGCTTGAAGACGACATGATGAGGCTTAAAAAGTGAGTTCTTAAAATGCAACCTGTTTTATCATCAAAACTGTCAGAATGTTTCTCTCATCTGTTGCCCATTACTGAAAATGAATGACAGTCTAATTTTATTTATTTTTTGCCTGTTAGTAAAATATCTCATGAACCGTTAAACACTCACAGAAAGTAATCACTGGATGCTCATCTACAACTGATTAATTTTTAGAGTAGCTGCCACAGACTTGAAGATATTAAGCTAAATTACATATATTGAGCCGAACATTGATGTGGGAGTAGCTGAGAGTCGTTCACAACACGCTACCTGAACGTCTCGTGGTATTGCAAGAGAYGGAGCATTACATTACATCAAGATTTTCCTCATCATAATATCAATAACATCTTTCTCCCCTAAAATGTTCAAAGTCAAAGTTTGACCTAAACGACTACAACTTCCTAATTTCTCAACTACTTAGTCTAAAACTCATGGATGATAAGCATTTTTTAGGCCTTTAATTTTGATTTGTTTTTATATTTTTAGCTATGGGATCAGAAACAGAGACGAGGTGACGTTCATGAAGAAACTGAGGAAAAAGTGACGCCGCCGGAGGAGAACATGTCTTCCTACAGAGTCTAACAGTTTTATAGATTTGACAAGGACTTTTAGTTCTAATAAACTGATTTTTTTGTTACTTTGAACATTTTGACAGTCTTTTTTTTAAATCTAATGTCTTTAGTTGGGCAGTCGTTGATAAAAGCTGTTATTGATATTAAAGTCAGGGAGTTATTCAATGATAAAGCTCGACTTATGTTGTATAAAGCAAAAATTGTTCCACATTTTATTTTACAGAAAATAGCCGTAAGAATTATCTCTAGAAAAGATTACAACCATTCATCAAATATGTTATTTTGCAAACTGAAAAATTTAAAATTCTATGATTTGGTTGATTATAATATTTTACTACAAGGCTCACAGAAACATATTACCTTCCAACATTCAGGTAAATTTTGTTAAGCGAGAGAGTTATTATTTTAAGGGGATAGAAATGTTTGTGAAGCCTTGGTTTCGTACAAGTTTGAAAGAAAGATGTACTTTAATCCAGGGAATAAAGTTGTGGAATGGTATGGAGGACGATCTTTAAAATGCAAGATCTATGTACATATTTAAGAGAAAGATAAAAGCTAGTTTTTTGAAGGTACATGGAAAGTATGTGAATCTATATGAATTGTTGTTTAAATTAATATTTTTTATTTTTTAGTATTTTTTAAAATATTTTTTGTTTGAATATATTATGGGCATAAAATGGGCAGACATAAGATTAATTCTTCTGCTAGCTTTCATTTTATTTTAGTTTTTGATTTGTGTATTTTCTTTGTTTTCTATTGTATATAGTTATTTTGGTTTTTAATTAAATGAATAAAGAATCAATATTATGAGGAGGGAAATCATGAAAAATCTGTATTTTTTTAACTCAGTAATTCCTGTTTAATGATTCTACAGAAATTATAATTAGGCAGTATTTCCTTTCTTTTCTACAGTATGAATCTGAGGCTTCGATTTTATTTGTAATGCTCGTCATGAAGGGCAGTTATAAGCTCCACCTGATCATTTGAATATTCCCTAAATGAAGAGAACAACGTTCTCCTGTTCAATTCCTGTGGATGTTACCTGCAGAGGACACTGCAGCTGGAGAGATTAGGTAATACTGGAATTTTCTGCCGGCTCATTAAATAACACTTCAACAAGTTGGAAATATTTAAATGGTAAAAATGTGCATTGTTATTTAATGCTACTGCATTCCTAGTAGTTTAATGATAGATCAAAAATAGATTATATTTTGTACTTTTGCTTTTTGGGAAAAGCAAATATTTAGATTTATTTCTTGTTAGACAAAGGCAAGTCTTTGTGTGCTCTTTTGTTTCTATCACTGATGTCTTTAGTTGGTTTATTTTTATTTTTTTCATGCATTGGCACTTCAGGGAACATAAGAAACCTTGTTTTTGGTCAGGAAAAGTGTTATAAAGCCTAAACTACTTGCTTTCTAATGTGTATGGCTTTAAAATGGGCAAACCATGCATGCAAATAGTTGTTTTGATAAAGTTGTTCAAGATCTGTCAATCAAAATTAAGTGAACATAAAAAAGAAAGTGTGTACAATTATGAAACAAATGTGAAAAAAGCAACACATGTTTTCAAATGTTTATTAAAATGGGACAAAAAAGGAAAAAAAGGTAAACTAACTGAAAAGTAGGACTGTTGAAACAGTAATTTGCATTTAAAAACATGTTAAAAGGTAATGGAATAGTTATTTCCTGTCAAATCTCAGGGTCACACCCATATTTAAGAAAAAAGGGAATCAAGTAAAATCTGTACTTAATATAATATGATGGTTTTAAATCAGTAAAATTTAATCCATAAAGTAAATAATAATAATAAAAAACTTAAAATGTTACAAACTTTGTCACCCCTTCCTGAAGTGACATTTATCTACTTTATGAAAAGACACTTCACAGTCATTTGCAAATGTTTGCTCACAAAACAAACATAAATTAAACTCTGTGCGCCCTAAAATACGTGACCCGACAGATAAAGTTCAAAGACTTCTCTTCTTTATCTTCTCAGCTGTCACCATGGCTTCTCCAGACGCTTCTGCAGAGATGAAACATATTTCTGTCAAGAGGCAACAGCTTCACGAGAGACGGAAAATCCTGTGCATATTTCAAGAGTTGAGGGAACGTGCTGAGTTTGGCCAAACGGGTGAGATTAAAGCAAGGAAAATGGTTAGTCTTTCATGTTTTGAAGCTACGACTTATTTTCTGTGTTTTACCACCAGAGGAAGCAGCTGCAACCCAGCTGGAGATCGATCAGATCGACCAAAGGCTGAAAGAACTTGAAGAAATGGAGACTGAACTCAATAGAACCTATGTAAATGTTTTAAATGCCAGTGACATAAAAGGCAAACAAGGTAACTATAACCAAGACTCAACAACAAACCTACAATACTGCACTATAGAAGTTTGTAACATAATTCATTGTCATTAATATTTTTTTTGTTAGGTATTTCTGAACCAGCGTTACCACCCGACTCAAATGATTATTCCAACGTTTGCTATATTGAGCTTCCTCCTTCCTATCCTGGTGAGTCAGCAAACCATGCAAATTCATTTTTTTCTTTGTGTAAACAAATCCTTTCATGAAATACTGAAATATGAAAATCCAATGAAAAGTGTCCAAATATCTGTAAGTCCTAATGTTTGCATTTTAGTCCTCTGTGATGTTTATCTATAAAAGTTCATCTCTTGACTCCTTTTAAAGGGGGAGTATGATGCAAATTTAACTTTTTTTAAATTTTTTTTATCATGTTATGTCATCCCTTCATCAAAAACATACCCAGAGTGTTACTTTGACTCATTCATACATGTTTGAGAAATCCTTCAATCTCCTGCAGAAACCATGTGGAGCTGCCTGAACACTTGCTGGTACAAAGCACCGCCTATTTGTACCATGCTCCTCCCCAAAGCTGCTCAAATTTTAGACTAAGATCATCTTAAAWTGAGAAGTGACAGGATTCTAGGTGTTTTGATCAAACCTTAAAAAGAACCTTTTGCGATACTGCAGGAAGTATATGTATTGTGAATGACTCTCGGCTACTACTATGAAGTTTTAGCTTTATATATTTTTTAACCGGTTGAGTTATAGCTGTTTTAGCTGTAGTTTTGGCTAATGTTGATAATCTGTGGTGTCCACCTTGACAGTCTTTGATGTACATGCAATCATTACATCCAGTCATTATTAAACCAGAGGGGATTGGTTGAAATACATTCAGTGGGCCATGTGACATTTTGCTAACAGACGGACACATGTGATTCTAGACATATAACACAAAAGTAATGAAATTTGTGTTTGGGAGATTTCTTTGTTGTAACAGTCCTTCTTGGCAATAAATCTTATATCGTTATAACGCGGAACGTGAAGCACCTCATTTGGATTTAAAGAGACAGCCTCTAARCGAGTTGATCTGAGACACACCTCAGAAAAGGGGTGAAAGAGGGGCTTGTGGAGTTACAATAAGGAGGAATTCAGACCAAAACCTTGCAGTTCTGTTTTATATTGACCCCCAACTGAATAATTTTAATGTGAAAAAGGATTTAAAAGCAGGAAATATCTCCGTTAAATGGCGCCACATTTGTAAGGAACATGCATTTGTGAGATGAGCAGTAGAGCTGAGTAAGTAGTTGTTCACATGAAAAAAATTGCCAAATCTTTTCTGCCAAACAGCTGATTTTTCTGTTAACGCTTGTTTTGAGCTTCTGGTGCCCCCAGATGCTGCCCAATCAGGTGCCTGGTGTAAGATTTATTGCCAAGAAGAGTTGTTACAACAAATAAATAATMTACCAAACACAAAGATCCTTACTTTTTGTGCTAAGTTCAGGTAATGGCAGTTTTTAAACCAACATCTTGAGCAGTCTGTGTTGGGGATMAGGCTACATTGTTGCCTTTTGGTTCGGGTGATAATAACGAGGAACTGAAGTGTTGTGTTGTTTCTCTGCAGCCCCTACGGTGGTCCTGGACATTGCAAATCTTCCACCGTATTCCTGTAAAACTCAGTGCCCCGAGTGTAAACAGTTTGTCATAACAGAAACCAGCTCCTCTGTCAGCAGCGTGACCTGGATGTCGTGCATTATAGCAGTGCTGGTTGGGTATGAGCCTTTCTCTCCCGTTCTGATAAGATATTTGCCTACAGACATAACGACGGGCTTGTTGCGCCTGTTTCTGTTTGCRCAGCCGCCATCCAGGTCAATTCTCATTTTTGCTTTCTCTTGTTCTCTCTGCCTCCTTTGCAGCTGTGTAGCGGGGTGCTGTCTCATTCCTTTCTGCAGCGATAAGTTCAAGTCCATCAACCATCACTGTCCAAAGTGTCGGACGAAAATTATAACTACCAAAAGACTCTGAGTGAAAAGCATTTGATAAAAGTCTTATGCTCAGACTGAGAATGGCAGCATATTGTAAGTGTAAGTAATGTGTATTTAAGTGAGAGGTTTGTTTAGTAACATCCATTTATTTTTATGTAAGTTAAAAAATCTGGGAAGTTTGGATGTTAATGTATGTGTTCTTCTTTGTTTTGTAAAAAAAAATGTATTATATTAGATATTACACAACCCCAACTCTGAAAAAGTAGGGACATTTTGTTTGAATCAAAACAGAATGGAGTAATTTGCAAATCATGAAGATTCAAAACTGGATTGAGGCAAAGTGGAAAACTGTTCTGGGGTCAGACAAATCAAAAGTGGAAATAATTTTTGGAAACTTCAGATAATGAAAAACACACAGTTCAAAGGCCTACCTCTCTGATGATATAGGGGTGCATTAGTGCCTCTTAACTTAAACATCTGGAAAGGTATTCTCAGTGCAGAAATGTTCCAACTTTTCAAAACTGAGTTTGTATTTTAAACKTAAAAAAACGTAAATTAGTGGACTGATTTTTAACTTGTTTTTTTGTGGAAATGTAAATTTCTGTTTTAGTTTTCAAGCTTTATGAATGTATCGAGCTGTTTGTTCAAGAAACCTAAAAGATTCAGTTGTGTAGTTTCATTTTATTGTCATGAATGTGAAAATTACTGTCAGAAAAAAATTCAAATAGTTTCTGTCTGTATTTACAGAGCAACAGTTACCTTTGTATAAAAAAAGCTGTATCAAAAGTCCGTGTACAAATAGCATGCAAATGATGCGATACATCATCCTTTGTGTTGAGTTATACTAATATAATAAAGAGAAATTCTTCCCCATTCCAGCACAAAACACTTTTTTTTCCAATTATGATAAATTAGGCACTGATGAGCCGTCTTGAAAAAATATTCAACTTTGATTCAAAAATTAAAAGTATAAACATAAAAAAATAAAAAATAAAATAGTTACTTACAATAAAACCACATGATTCTGCCTGTAGTACCACGTCGTAACTTCATTATGCTTTGAGACATATTTTTTTGTAAAACACAGAAGTTTGTTGGAAAAAAAGAAGAAGTAAAAAATCTGTTAACTGAAGCTGGTTAAACTCAGATGTTGCCAGCAGAGGTCACTGTCTGTCTTTTATGGATGAAAATTATTATTTTTGGTCATGTTTTAGTTATTCGTTTCTTCTCATTGCTTCTCTAACACTGTGCACAAAAAATGAAGAATTGTACATAAACCAGAAAAATAAAAAATCTAAAGTAACAAATGACTTTACTTAAGAGGAGTAACAGTTTTACACAGAGCACAGATTTGGTGATAAAAAAAGAAAACATGTTTTGAGTGTTTAGTTAAAAAGGCTGGGTCTTGTTTTTGTCCAGCGGTGCCTCTGCCATCAAACCAGCTTCAGTTAAGCATCTGATTTATGTCTCACAATTTGCATAAAAACAAAAACCATGCATCTTGTTTTCACAATCTGTTTTGATAGTGATACTCAGTCCAAGACCTGGGTGAAATCACACAACAATCTTTAGCTAAATAAAGCTTTTGTCCACCAGTAACAACGATTAATGTCCTGCCATTACACTGAGTGCAACTCGCTCTATAAATCACTGAGACACGTTAAAAAAATAGAAATGAGTCATGTGAGAACAGACTACCAAATCAGCGATAAGATTTGAGATGWAAGTTTTTTAATGTTGCAGTATTATACAGATGTGGATCAATTTGTTTGTTCCCTTTTTGTTAAAGAAAAAAAAAAAACACAAAAGTCACTGAACAAACTCAGAATTAACAAAAACAATAAGCAAAAATTACAAAAATGAACTAATGAGAATCAGACTTTTGTCAAAAAAGGATGGTCCCCCTGACCCATCGTTCCAGTCAAGTGACACGCTGCAGGTCTCAGCTGCTTCCAGATGTTCAACATGATTTAGATCAGAGCTCAGACGACCACTTCAGAATAGTCTAACGTTCATTTTTCGTCATTTTAGCTGTGTGTTTTAGATCTTTATCTTGTTGTTGGACACATGATCTTTGCTGACCACGCTTTCTGAAACTAGGCAGCGCACTTTGCTCCAGAATGCCTTGATAGTCTTGAGATTTTATTGCACCAAACACAAATTTAAGACACTTTGTTTTTGGTGCAGAACAGAACAAAGCCTCGTCCAAGTTTCAGCTGTGGGCTTAATATTTATGTCTGAAGAACTAATTTATTTATTTATTTGTCAAAAAGCTCCAGTTTTATGTCACTTGTCCAAAAGTTTTGTCTCACTCTCTCAGAAACGCTGTGGCTTTTTGTTGTGCATCCTGKTAGGTTCCAGTCTACGACAACAGTGGGGTCTTCCTTGGTCTTAGATTAAGTCTCAAACCTCAGCAGATGATGGGATCTGACACTGGTGTACCTTGACAGTGACTCCACCTTTCACCCTTTTATAGACTGGCTGAGCCTGAACACACTTGTGATGCTAATTACCTTAATTTGATATGTCCCTAAGGTCAAATCTTTTCTAGAGTTTCATTATTATTATTTTTTAATATTTCTGTTAAACCACAACTCAAAAGCAATGACTTATTTTTATTACTTGGCTTTTAGTGCATTTTTTTTCGTCTTCTTATTGTTGGTTTCAAATTATTTCAGTGACCATGGTGGTTTTTTATTTCTTTAATGAAAAGGTACCACTTTATCCATGTGGTTTGAGTACCATTTTATTTATCTCCATCAAGAATTAAAGACCCCTCATAGCTGAAACGCTCAAATTGTCTCATAAAAACCCCTCGATCCTCGATGTGCGCTACAAATGAAATTATAATAAAAACAGCTGATAGATGTAAGAATTTAAATCACTCAGTCCCAGTTCAGCTGCAGTTCATGAGAGTCCAGGAAGTCAGAGGAGAAGACGCCCTCTGGAACCRCCATGTCCAATGGGTTAATACCCTCTGCTGGCACAGACAGGGTCAGATCCAGCCAGTCCATGTTCTCCATGGTGGCGTTTGTCAGGTTCACATCGGAGGGCGGCATGTTTTCACTAAAGTTCACGTCCATCGTGACCACGGGGGAGTTTAACTCCTCCATCAGTTTCAGTTTCTGTGCCTCAGCGTCAGCAGCCAGCCTGCTGTCCAGGAGGGTCTCCAGCTCATTCCTCGAGGTCAGAGGCTCCAGGTCCGTYGAGGGGTTGAGCGGTTCTACAGGCATCTGGGCCACCTGCACCAGAGGGGGAGGTCGGGACAACACTGTGTTGATGGGAAGGGTGGTGACACTAGCTGTCACGGCGAGAGGCTTTTCCAGGCTGGGTGGGTTCTGTCTGGCGAAGGGGGACATCTCTAAAAAAAAAAAAAAAAGGCAGGACATGGATTATAAATACTGCTAACACTTTGTCTTCCCAGATTRTGGTGCCAAAAATAATAACAGTATATCTCACCTCCACTCTCAATCAGCACATCAAACAGGTCATCCATCTGCTGGCTGGCTGCAGTGGGACCCTGAACAAAAACCAAAGGTTCGTTTTTGTTTTACTGATAACACTTTAAAGAGAACAGACAGACATTTGATTTGCACCTGAGCGGCTGGTAAAATGCTGCGCGTCTGTTTGACGGCATCCTCGTAGCGGGGTGGGTCTTTGCTCTTCGACACATGGTTTGTGAATTTTGATTGGCCAGAACAGGAAGTCTGATAAAACAAACCGAAGACCACCGTTATTTCTTTTTAACCAAATAAAAACAGAACATAACTGGAGTAAGAAAGACACGAGAATCATCTTCTACCACGGTTTTGTTTGGGACAGCTTGGCCGGACGAAGCACCGTTACATTCAGTCTCTGGGAACATGTTGAGTAAGTTTTCTGCTTTGACGTTCATCGTCCATGTCTGCAAAAATAAAAATAAAAAATAAATATAGACTGGTTTTTGTATTATCAGTGTCAATAAAATGCTCAGGGAAATAAAAAGGCAGTGGTTCATGAGATGTTTGATGGTCCAAAATGGGCAAAAACATGATCAACGATTTGCCTTTGGCACTGTAAAGAAATATGATCAAWTAGGCCATCTAACTTAAAACTGCACCACTATTATGATATAAAACATAATCAGATTTACTGCACATAAACTAGCTTTTATATTGCAAACATTGAACGTTACACCTTTAGAAAAAAGACCAACTTTAAACAGCCACAAATGTGAGCAGGGTGTGTTGATGAGGAGCCAGGCTGAGGCAGTTCGAACTGAGCAACATCTCACCTTCGTCAGTTGCTGAGTTTGAGTTGTGGGTTGTTGCTGTAAAGCTGCAGAGATATCTGCTTTCTGTGGCACCTGTCCAGACGTCTGTACGTGGCCTGGAGCAGTGGCGCTCGCAGGAGTTTGTAAATGAACGCTTTTGGCTGGGAGCTCGACAGCCACTGCTACGGCGGGAAGAAGGATCTGAGCCTTGACACACTGCAGAGCGTCAGCGTGTGTGATGGTCCGCTGAGCTATGATGAACGGCTTCGAAGCAGCTGCGCGGCTCTGATCTGCAGACTCCTCCTGTTTGACCAGTCCTGGCAGAACGGGGGGGCTGTGGGACACGGAGCAGGCCGACGCCGTCCTGGGTTCCTCCTTCACCCGGAGGAGGGGGTTGGGTCGAGGCGGAGAGTCGCTTTGCTGGCTTCTTTTCTCCACCTCCAGTTGCATCTTCAGTTCCTCCACCAGCTTCTGCTCCTGCTGGAGCTTCTTCATCAGCTCCTCTATCTGACGCTCCTTCTCATGCAGGCGTTTGTCCTTTTCAGAGTCCCTCTGGGTGGACTTCGTCTCCGCGGGACACTTTTCACKTGAAGAGTTTGTGCACTGAATAGAKCCCRTTGGCGTATCTGAAACCAGCTTTGTTGAGCTGTCTGTCTTATTACAGTCTTCTATTCCCAGTTTAGAAACTTTGGAAGCTATGAGGGAAACAGGSGGGGARAACTTTGTGTTGTCAGACTGTGAGGCTCTTTCCATGGTAGCAGCATGCTGGATGTTGGAGCTCTCCTGAAACAGCTTCAGCCTCTCGATTAGGTCAGTTTTAGTCCCAGAAACGGGCAAAGCTCTGAGCTTTAGCTCCATTTTCAGCTCAGCCACCTTAAAAAAACATAAAAAACCCATAAATCATAGACACTCATACACCGCTCAATCATATGATTGATATAAATATGATGTGTCACCTTCATCTCATCTAAATTTGCTGGTAGGTGCTCTGGCTTGCGGTTGGCATTAGCATGACGAGACGGAGTGTTTCCTCGAAGAACAACTGCTGAGCAGCTGGTTTGTGCCTCGGTTCTTGATATGCTGTAATGCGATGCAAGAAAAGGGGAGTAATGTAAGAAATAATCTGTCATCCATTTGCTTTTTACATGCAGTCGCTTCTGTGGAGGAAGCTCCGAACAGGAAATGCARTGTAAGTGAGACAAAAAGCAGCTGCGGTTAAACAGTTATGACAAATAACTTTGAGTTCATTGAAACAGGGTTGGATTTGTTATTATTTTTTTATTATCTAGAGCAGGGGTCCGAAGATTGTGGATCTGGATCCAAATGATGTCTTTTCTTCGTTTGAATCATGGGCGGAAATTCCAGGGGTGTCAGAGAGGTCTGGACCCCGTAATTTTGGGAAACAGAGATTGTTCCTTCCAATAAAAGTTTTTAAGAAACTATAATTTTAAAGTACATAAAAATAGAAAGCCTGTGCACCATTTGTATAGCAAAACAATATATTTAAAGGGGATATATCATGGAAAATCCAATTTTTAGCCTTTAAATGCATTTTGCTGTGTACTTGGAGCCTTTGGGAGTGCAGAACATTTGAATTTAGTTTCTCCCAGTGCTGCAAACATGTCTTTATATTCTGTTTGGGTCATATTTTTCAACCCATTCAGTTTTCTCTATGACATTTTCTGAACTTTTGCATCAAATTATTTGTGTTGTATCTGCCAAATGAATATTTCCTTTGGTAACATTTGCACTTGAAGTATAGTCATATCAGCATGCATAAGAAAGTGTGTACTTGGTGAAGGATGATTTGTGCAGATTGGCGCCGTACTTCAGCGTGACCGGTAGGACGGCCTGGTTGTATTGCTGCTGCTGCTGGCTCAGGATCTGAAGGTGGAGGAACTGCTGCTGCTGCTGCAGGAGGCGGGAGTAGGACGAGTCCATCGGCACGTCGCTGAGCTCTTGCTTCTGGTCGGGAGGAACGTACTGATGGTACTTCAGTTTTTTCACCCGTGGCTTGGGCTCTTTGCTCTTCTTGCTGCGGCTTTTCTCGGCCGACAGCTTCGCCAAGCTTTGCTGTGGTGAACAGCACACACACACAAAGAGCATGTAAATCTGCATGATATTCTGGTTCTGTAAGGGATTTCAGGAACGTTTTTGACAGAATACAGTTTGCACTGAAAGTCTTGGAACTGATCCTATTTTTTATAGTTTTCATAATTAAGGTGTAGCATTGTTCTGACAGGTGGTGACAACGACAGGATGAGGAAGTGGGTAGGGGAAATATGACCCTCATTGTTTTACCACCTGCAATTTCAGGATGCAGCGTACATGAAAATGTTTTGGCACCGCAGCAGGTTCTGAAACCAGAAACTCAGCATGAGTTAAACAAGCACGCAGCCTCTAATTTGTCAAATTCATCCCCCCATCATATTCCAGAAGAGGGAGAATCCATCTTACTGTGTGCTCAGGCCTGGACAATAAGAGAGGCGTGTGTTTCTGCAGCACTCCCTTTCACTTTTGTTTTAAGTTTCATGACAAACTGTTTGTCTTCGGGTCTTCTGAAAGACAAACTGTGGCCGGCGCAGATTTTAGGTCCCTGGATGTGTAAAATACTTTAACGTGCATCGCTCTTTGGCTCGCATTTGACTTCGGTTCTCCCTAAACTGCTCTGACTTTAAGGATGACAAAGTCCAGACGTTCTCTTTCATCACATTTCCAAGGGGAAAAATAAAAACACACTAAATTAAACTGACTCCAAATAAGTCAATACGGTAACATCTATTTATAAACTGTATTAATTCCCTTTAAAAAAAAAAAAAACACCCTTCAGTGTAAAAAAACCCTCACTTTTACAAGAAGCGGGCCTGATGAAACGCCTGGGACAGCTGGCTGACGTGTCTGCTGGTTGCTCTTTAGCTCGGTCGTGGAGACGACTACATTTGAAGTAGACGTKGAGCTGAGAGTTGGAGAGAGCTAAGAGAAACAGAAACATAAATCAGAAAACACATCTGGCCTGTTAGTGCAATGAAGCTGGAACTTCTGGTAACTATCATCCCAGGAAAAAAAAACGGACTCTTCAGCTGGAACAACATAACCAAACAAAGCGTGGTGGACACTCAGAAAAAGAATAAAAGGTTTCTAAACTTGAGTGTGCAAGGCTCAACGTTTTTACATTCTCAAATAAAATCACAGAGATCACCACATGCAAATTTAAATAAATTTTAATATTATAAACAATTTTTGTTTAGTTTTTGTACCTGTGGGGAGGTACTGGAGTTTGAGGAAGAACTCGAAGTCTCGGTCCGCCCGCACTCCTTTGGCGACGAGGAGAAAGGAGACTGCTGACTGTTGGGCTGCTGTGGTGAGGACGCATCACTGCTGTCCTCATCGAAGCTGTAAACATCTGGAACATGTGGCGTCTCYGACTTATCAGCCTCACCGCCTGCAGTCGGCATCGAGGAATAATAAATGAAGGAACAGTAACATTAAAGTTTAGCTTTTTGGAAGTTTAGGACGTAAAGCTAATGTTGCATTCTGTTTGTGCGTTTGGAATAGAAGCTGTTTATCACAACACAAAACCTGAATCATCAATAATTATTGTGTACAGACAGATGTAAAAGTTTCCATTATTGTTCATGATTGGCTTTGTATACTTTTTCAAGTCTTGAAATCAGTTATAAAGACTGTGTTAAACTGCTGATTGTAGCATTTAGCAATTTTAGCTTCTGTTCTGCTTCACTTAAATTAGCCAATCCACTTTCCCGATGAACATGAGGTCGATCCTCTTTGCACAAATGCGTTTGTGATAATTTCTAACTACAAATGGTCTATTTAAGGTTAGCTAGTGTTTGATACAAAATAAAACAAATATAATCAACAGACGACGTAATTTAGTCAATATAAGCTCACATTTTTATAGGTATTTTTCCTTATATCTTTTCATGGGACAGCTCTGAAGATATGACACTTTGACACAATGTAGTCAGTGTGCAGCTTGAATAACAGCGTAACTTTGCTGTCCCTTCGAAATAACTCAACACACCCATTAATGTGTTAACCTGGGGTGACAGAAGTGAGGGGTGAACTCACTTTTATGAGATACTGTACATGTAAGCAACACGTTTAAACACCCCGTTCCTTTTTGTTGGTCTAGATTTCTTAAACCACTTTTTTTTCCAACATTTATAATTTTAAACAGAGTGCCTGATGCAATGTTGAACTGAATAAAGTTGACAAACAGCTACCATTTCCAAGCTTCTCCACGCCAAAGTCAACAGGCAGGATCTTCTTCTCAACCAGCTCCATGGGTCCAGGTCTTTGGGAGATCTTCTCGTTGAGGTCATTGGCCAGTCTGGCCCTCTTCAGCTTCATCTGTGTGGCCTGGAGTGAAGAATCCGCCTGCGTTTCTGATAAACACACACACACACACACACACAC